CAGGAATAACGCAAATAATTATTTGGCTTGGAAGTCAGAACCCCCATAGGCAAGACAGATGAAGCCTGATGGGTGCCACAGATGGCAAAGAGGAGCAAAGAAAGGCCCAAGCCATCCTCTCAGGCCTACCCTCCCCACCTACCTCCAAACCCCTCTCTCCTGTAAGGCTCCCACCTCACTTATCCTCAGTATAGCTCTACACAGACTCTGTCCCCAGAAGACGCTCCCAACAGCCGTCTCCTTTCACCCACCCACCCTCGGCTCTGCCTCCATGGCAGCTTCTCCAAACCCTCCCCATTGACCACAGCCTTCCTGTCTGCAACCTGCCGGTGTTCCCCCACTGCACGTCCAGAACCCCGGTGCCCATGTCACCAAGTGTTAAGACTTGTTCAGCCCCACCGAGCCTGCTGACAGCGCTCGCTCTCCCCTGCTGAGCCGCTCTCAGTCGTCAGCACAAGACATGTGCTTCATTACTGAGGAGAGGCCCGATGACAAGGCTGCATCAGCTCTACTGTAAGCGGCGTAATAGCAGGAAGGAAAAAACAGGGCACCACTAGGAAGAGATCTGGCCAGGACACAACACACTCTCCCCACTCCCTCCATCCCACGTGCCTTTTCCTGTGTGCCTGGACACCTCCATCGACACACTTCAGACCACGATCACAAACTCAGCTTTTCTTATGAACTTTGCTTCTGTTATCTTCTTTTTATGATTACAGTTCCAGCTCAGAGAAACCTGAATTTCATCCCTTCCCAAGAACAGTAAGCCTAGATTGACCGGTAAAAATTCTCTTATCCCTTTCCCAAGAAGGAAAGGAAAAGGGTGGCTTATCACTGCTAATAAATGAGACCTGCCTCCTGCCTCCCTTTTCAGGGTTACAGACCTCTGCTTGCCCCCAGCAGACCCCTAAATCCAGGCACAACAGCACCTCCCTTCCCTTGGGCTGCAGCCTCCCCGCCACGGCTAAGCCACATCACCTCTCCCACCACGGAAACCCGGCACCGCTACAGTACATTATAGAATCATAGAATCATAGAATCATTAAGGTTGGAAGAGACCTCCAAGATCATCGAGTCCAACCATCAACCCAACACCACCATGCCCACTAAACCATGTCCCTAAGCACCTCATCTACCCGTCTTTTAAATACCTCCAGGGATGGGGACTCAACCACTTCCCTGGG